ATACTTTAAGTAAGGTAAACAAAGTTGATTAAAATATCACTTTTGTACACTTTCGCTCAAGATAGCAAATTTGATCAAAACGTCATTATCCATATGTGTCTTATTTTTATTTGGTACCATAAATGACTGACAAACAATTTAGACACCAAACAAAATGTCAAGAATAAAATGACTTTATTATCTTTAATATACACTGTACAATAAAAAGCAAGATAAATTAAAAGAAAGTTCCATTGGCCTCTGCAGGGCACTGCATGTACCACAAAATATATGCCTTTAAATAAAAAGCACATACAATGTGAAACTATCTAAATTCATAAGTGTATAAGAATGTACATTGGGTTTGAAAGTGCAAGTCAACACTAGCTGGTTCATAATTATCTAAGGTTGGTACAGATAAAACGTAACTCCATTTGAGTGGTATACTTCAAATATAGTCTTTCTAGATTCAATTGATACTATTGGCAAATGGTTGTACGATGACAACACGTACACATCACTCCCAATGTAGATGTGACATCCTTACTAATGAACAGAACATCAACCACAGGAAATAAAATTAGCCTCAAATTATTGTGATAAGCGATATTCCTCTAATTATTATTTATAAGAACTTGTTTTCATCTGATAAATATTATCCACTACCCAAAATAGGTAGTGAATAATATTATATAGTGTACCTAGTGCTATTCACTTACCCCAAGGGGAGATACATCTGTATGATTCATTTTTAACCAAATCAGTTATATAAAAATATTTCTTGTAAATAAAATGAGTCACTATGCGAAAGCTCTGTGCATTTCTATGATTTGGGTACGACTTATAAGGTTACTTTTGTCACCTTTTTAGCATGTACATGTATTTTACTTTACAGGTGCTTCATTTACTGCTAAACTTCTAAAACTAGCATGAAATGACACCCCAATTTTACTCTCATCCTATAGGTAGCCAAAAGTGTTTCAAGTTATGAAAGCAAATCTGCTATCCACTGATTTGGTTAAATACTTGTATTACTATTATTATTATTATTATTATTATTATTATTATTATTATATCACTGTAAATAATATGATTTGGTGAAATTCTTGTATTATTATATGACCATAAATAATCATTTTATTACATTTACTTTTTCTACTAAAATCAAATTATTTGCTAAAAATTTGAGCAATTTTTTTCTGATTCACATGATCAGCTGTTTTGCTTGCAGTATTGGACTGATTAAATATCCAAATTATCTAAACACAATCTATACACTATGAAAGCTCTGTAGAACTTCTTTAATTCATCATCATTATTATTGTTATTGGTATGCAGGTGATTAAAATTTAAGCCATGTTTATCAAAAAACTGTTATCACACATGGTATTTTTTTTTTTTTGCATAAAACATAACTGCACTCTTTTTTCATAAAATATGCCATTTGGAGTCCAGTAATTACTCTACTATGGGGTGTATTGGCTAGATTTACTCCTCGGAGTGGCACTTTTTAAGGCAGTGCTTAGGGTAGCCCTAGGATCTGTCACCACTGCGGAAAGTGGATGCAGATGTATCTCCAATTACATATGTTGGGTGAATGGACACGACGACTGAAAATACAGCTGCATTTACAGGCTACTAGATGGAAGGTTTTTAAAATTCAGTAAAGTTGCCAAGTTACAGAGTGATTCGGTACAAACTAACAAGGACAGCTCTGCAAAGATGGCAAATTTTGCAGACATTTGTCTTGTAAGGGAAAGTTTGTGGCTCCACCATACCATACAAAGGTCATTGAGATTATGTGACTTTGTGTGAACACTTTATTTCAAATCGGACTAATCACAAAGAGCGTAAGAACCTAGCCAATCACAAAACGCTGACATACATGCATGTCTTTGTGACCCTGTGGGATTCAAACATGATATTGTGCACTAATTCTCAGACGGCATGCTCTATACAGAAGGTTTAGAGTGTCTGCAACACAGGCAAGATTTTCACTGGATTGTGACAAATCACTTTGAGATTTGGTAATTTACCTAGTTTTAACGTGGCTCCTTCCCATGGGTGTCAAAGGATATTCACTTACCACATTGTAGGTCTTCATCAAAACTCAAAAAATTGTGCAATTGTCTACTGAGTAAATATGATTCTAGAAACTTAACTGAAAAGGAACGGAATCATGATGCATGTCAACTTCAACTTGAGTGTTATTATTTTTTTGTAAATGTTTATCTAAAATGTCTTCTTCTTTTCTGAATGTTCTTCAAAAAATTATCTGTGTTATGCTTATGATCAAGTTCCTTTTTCTATTGTAAGTGGTGGGTGCCAGAGCAAACTCAAACTCAAACTCAAACCCTGGTGCTCCTTGGTTTGATGCTGGTCTCACTGTGTGCTCTATTACCATTATTTTCACTTCATTGGCTTTGACACCATGCAACTTTGCGGTCCAACTGGGCCATTAAACCATTAACCTCAATGCTCTGCCAGGAAAGTGGCCTTACACAGAGATTTTCCCTGTTTGGGAGGTCCTCATCTGAACCTGAAGAATTACCTTCATGCCACTCTGATACAGCTGTTTCAGACAAAGACTCCTCTGATGACATATATGCAACGGACATACATGCAAGGTACTTGTCCTTGTCTAACTAAATAATGCTAGTTGACTCCCTCAGAGCATATTGGCCCTTTAATTTTTTTTCTGAAAGAAAAATGAAAAGCCATGATTTAGCAGCCAACAAGTAACCCACAGTTGGTAAACAAGCATGTACTGCTCATGCTCAGTGTAAATGATTGGGTTGCAGAACAATGACACGATTCTAAAACACTCTCTTAATCAAAGGAACAGTTTGAGGATATTTTTGAGAATAATTTCTCCCTGCATTTTATTCCTACTAACTTTTTCATTAAATATATAATATGTTTTCTGGAACAGGTGTTAAAGTAGAGAGCAGAAATGCCTCTTTCAGTTGAATCTGCATTTGTTTCATTAAGACTCTTTTAAGTGTAAATAAAAACTGAAATAAATTAATTCCCCTATCATTCAAGAGCAGAACTGATAGTGTCCCACAGGTCACCAGGCTCTAACAGAGGATAGCCATGACTCAACTGTACACATAAACCGTAAAAACGGTCAGAACCTGAGAAACATAACATTAAGGCAACCCACATGTTGCTTAGAACAATAATTAATTAATTGTGGTTATTTGGCATGATAAAGCCAAAGCATTTACTCGCAAAATGAACTAACAAAGATCCCTCAACATAATTGAGCTGTACAAACAGTATAAATAATGAGGTATTGTCATTTAAAATGTGGAACAGTAATACAGTGGTCACTTGGAATGACACTTATGCTTCAAGATCTGGCAAGTGCCGTCATTCGCAAAATGAGCCAAAATTAAGATCTCACAGTATCACCGAACCATATTCATAAAGCATAAGAGTTTGGGATGGTACAATTTATGAAAGAAGAATCACTTGTCAATTAAATGTGGAACAATAATACGGTGGTCACTCAGAATGACACATAGGCTTCAAGATCTGGCATACGCCGTCACTCGCAAAATGAACCAAAATTAAGATCTCACAATATCACTGAACCATATGTATAAACCATGAGAGTTTTGGATGGTACATTTTATGAAAGAAGAATCACTTGTCATTTAAACGTGGAACAATAATACGGTGGTCACTAAGAATGACACATAGGCTTCAAGATCTGGCATACGCCGTCACTCGCAAAATGAACCAAAATGGCGGTGAACAACGGAATACGATTCGTTTTTCATGTGTTGACCGTATGTTTTCCGTGTATTTTGCATGCATTAACCGTGCGTTAACGGTCCGGTTAACACCAGTAAAACAAGCGTTTTCCTGGCGTTAACTGAGCCTGAAAACTATCGGATAATGGAACGAATACTCGAATTCACCGGCAAGAAAACGACAGAAAAAGTGTGGATTTTACGACCGGAAAACGCGAGAGAATTTTAGCAAAATGCCGCGTTTTCGAAAATTAACCGAGGGTTTTCCGTAACGGTGAATGCCATATTTCTTGCCGTGTACATTCTGCCTCTAGCGATAGAGTAATTCAACTTTTAAGTAAGGTAGTATGCAAACCTATACATCAAGAGAAATGGCTGTTGTTCATGTGACATTGACTTACATCCAATGAACGTTTCTAGGTCTGTCATATCGCCTATTGTTTTTATAAAACGCTCAGCAAGAGTCTACATGTATTTAATTGGTTTCATTGGTAGTACTCTGCATCCTGGAGTAGGTAGATTCAACTAACTGTAATCAAGTGTCTTTGGGCCAGTCATTTAAACGGAGTTTAGCTCGTGCTTAACAAAACCGCGTTCTAAGCCATTTTCAGTTTTCCCACCGCATTTATCTATACATCATTTATCGTAAACAATTTCAAAAAAGCATATAGCGCACACTGGAAAAGCACTTAATATTTTCTTACATTAACCCACTAACTGAAAGAGATCTGGACCAATGATTTCTTAAACATCGGCCTAAGTTAGACTTGATCGTTTGAATAACCGACCCTTTATTTTTTACCCAGTATTCCAAACCTTACCGTCAGAGGTTTTATGAATTAGAGCACTACGCTACGACATCTACAAAATGTCAGTTCGAAACGTAACACAATATTTAACGAATTAAGTATATTACAGGATAGCCTCAAAACTGAAAGGGTATGGTATAAAGACAGTCAGCGGTCAGGCAACATGGCGTGTGAGGTAATCTGACTCTAATAATCATAAATTAATCCCCTAACTATGGCTGCCCTTTTTCTTTAACCCCTGTGGTTATTTGGAGCAGCCTGAATCTTCTCCTCTTTACCTCTGTTAATATATCTTCTTTATCAATATTGTAATACTATTAAGTACCGAATAATGTTGTTGTTTTTGTTGGTTAATTGTTTTTGACATTTTCTGTTATTTATGAGTACACAAGGTGGGTGATGGTTAAGGAATTGCAGATTGTGCCGTGATTGAAGTTGCTTTGAACACTTTCTAACATTTACTGGAGATGTCACCTGCCCTGCGTGACTGAGATGCCATCACCTGCAGTCCACCGGCAGGATGAACAGCTGTGCGGCAGCAACGAACTTGTATCATCCTCTTCGCCTTTTCTCTGAAACGATAGTTGACCAATGCATATACAATTGGATTGATAGCAGAATTGACCAAGACCATCGTATTGGATGCCGTTAGGGAGAGAAATGCACCCGTATGGGAATAAAACTGTACCATAAGGTAGTTGGTCCTGTCAGTTACCCAACACACTCCAAAGACAACACTGACAAGTATGACCATTAAGGTAGCTCGTTTTCGCATCTTCAGAACCGCCTGTTATTAAAAAAAACAAAAACAAACAATTAGACAGGCACAAGAGAGATGAAGTTTGCGTTGCAATTCCGTTATTGGGGTTACCCGGCTATGACCGCCATCAATTAAGCGCATTTTTTTTAAAACCCAAAAAAGTAATTTTTATGCCTACTCACTCACCTTTAAACAGACTTTCTGACTTCGATTTAGCTTCTCACGTTTTAAAAGTTTGCAGAATTCAGAGTCTCGGCGCGGCCTTCGTCGCGCACAAGTTATTGCACAGTGGCGGATCCAGACCTTCAGAACAGGGGGGGGGGTGGTCATCAGACCCTGAGATGAGGGGGGAGGCCGGACTCCAAGACTTTTTTTTCGGTCCTTCGGGCCTCATTTTGGTCGAAAAACAACGGGGGGCGACCCTCCCTGGATCCGCCATTGCTGCAGTGAATGGGGGGGCGGTGTCCAAATTTTTTTTTTTTCGGTCCTTCGGGCCTCATTGTGGTCGAAACATAAGGGGGCCCCAGCCCCCCCCCAGGTCCCTCCCATGGATCCGCCACTGCTGCAATGCATGCTTCGAAGCTATACTGTTTCTTAAATGTTTGTACTGCTGCCACTGTCTTTATCCTTTGTGTATTATACTGGGTATTCGACGTTGTTAGCATGATCTATCTGCAGAAATCTTGATGCTTTTGTTCCCAGAAAAAATTCCCGTTTAAAGATTAAATTTAAGTACCTTGGGAACTCATTCGAAACTCATGCAAGCGTGCGCTCTTTCAGTGCAGTTTCTTGGTTCAGTTTAACACTAAGACAGCATCAACATATATATTTTTAAAATAACAAAACGCAGATACCGTTGGAAATGCTATTACTTTAACTGAAGGTAGAGCTAAAGCACTTTCAGGAATTTGCATTACTCTGAGTCAGCATATCACACAGTCTACCTATCTCTTGCCTATATAAATTATGTCATGTACATTGAAATATGCATAATAGCCTGTACTAAGTGATAAACATCATCTGTATAATATATAAGACAACTATGTGGTGTTCCCATATGGGTTACTATTCCATACCCAATAATGTTTTTAAATCATTTTACCTTCTGTTGCGTATTGTTTTCTCTCCTGTCCTCATGTTTGAACCACAAAGTGTACACCACACGGAAGTACAATATGGCCATAAGAGAAGTAGAGAGGACTGCCAGACAAAACCAATAAAGGCTGTAGGCCTTGCCGACCCACTCTCTTGGCCACGTGTTGATGCAGTAATTCCAATATTCGTTATATCTTCTGTACATGAACGATGGAATATTCAAGATAATCCCTAGAATCCACGTACTAATAATTATCACCTGTTTTAATATCAAGCAAAACAAGGGAGTAATTATGGTAAGGTTATTTTATGAAGCACACACAAATCAGCATATCAGCAGCGGGCAAGCTACTTTTAGCTACTTTTACTTATCAGCCAATGGTTTAGCTTTACATGTATATCTGCGACTAGACTGGATATCAATTCTTGACCAATTATGATTAAGTTCACGAAGAGCATCCAAACTGTCGCTTGTTGAAAGCAAAAATTCCTTGAAACTGCCGTCATTTTTTTTAAAAAAGTAAAAAAAGGACCGAAATGATTCTAAGTCCGACTCAAGTAACTGTCTAATGATGACGTATTATTATCGTCATCATCATCATCATCATCATCATCATTATCATTATTTGTATCAGTATAGTCTTAAGAAGAATTTATTTATTTCTTAGTTAGTCAAGCTAACAATCTGACTGGCCATGTTCTTTGGCTGAGTGTAAAGATCTAACTCGCCACCCGAGAATCTGGCATTGCCTTGCAGACGAATCATGCAGTTTGCGCGAAGCCCTTAGATCATCCAGTTATCTGCTTGCCTGATAGTCAAGAGAGAGTGTCGATTGACCTTGAAACGGTTATATACGCATGGAAAAAACAAACAAAACAAAACAACAAACAAAACAAAACAACAAACAAAAAAGAACATAAAAATTTGATTAGTCTATCAAACAGACAAAAATAATCTCTCTTAAAAAAAAAAGATTGCTGAAAATTTATTTTCCAAGACATGCGGAACAGATACTGAGTTGCTAATCGAACACGCGAAAGATACTTTTCTCCATTTAAAGGGTCATCATCTTGCCATCATCTATTGACTGATAAAATAAATAACGAACACTTAAGGAAACCATTTTTCAGTGTCATACGAAACGCTTCATAAAACTGAATAGTCTGCAAGGCGCGATGATTTCTAGAATTAACTTTTGGCTTTTGATATAAGGTAATCGAAATACGAATACACGTAGTACTATTACAATTTACGATAAATTGAAATAATCGCACCTTAAGTTTACGTTTACTAAGCGCCTCCATGTTTTCAAATGGATAAACCACGGCGTAGTAACGTTCAACAGCTATAGTAACCAAACAAAATACTCCAGTGGCAGCGCCGACCCATCCAATGATTCCACCAGTCAGCGCAATGCAGAGCGCGGTGCCTGCTGCTCCTTCTGGGTGTGCGATGAAGTGGGAAAATATGTACTTTGGTGATAAAAATAGGGCTGTTGTGATATCAGCAACAGCCAGATTAAGAATAAGATAGTTGAGTGAAGTCCTGTAGAATAAAGCATTGACAGTATGTTAGAGCTGCTCAGAAAGTACATGAAGAATAGGGTACAGTAGGTCACCCGCTTAATACGGACACCCGTATATACCGTCAATTTCGTTTGTCCCAACGAAAAGCCGTCACATTTTCTCTCTAAAATCAAGCACCTGTTTTTTTTGTCCGCATACCTCATATCTCGATTCCTCAGAATGATGACACAGACCAGAGAGTTTCCAGCAATATTTACGATGACGAGTACAGAATGGACCACTATTAATACAACTTCAGCTGAATCGGAATTGCTGTAAACGGACAT